ACAAAATTAATTCTTTACTTTTAAATATATTCAAAGTGCGAGGTCTCTGAGATTAGAGGGTAGGAGTCTCCGAGTTTAGCTCTTTCATGAAAGTGCTAGTTAGGATATAGGGTCATTACTCAGGAGGCTGATCCTCCTGGCAATTCCTTACCTCGGGGTTGCATCAGGCTAGGATCATAGCACTTTAGGGCAGATACTAGGTAGGCTCTAAGACATGGCTGGTCCCTTCTGTAAGGGCAGTATCATTGTTTCTTTTCTGTTGCTATGATAGGATAAGTCAACACAAGAAATCTAAGGGAGGAAGAGTTTTTTGGGTTTACATTCCAGACTGCAGTCCATCCTAGCAGGGAAGCCAAGGGAGGGGGAGCTTGAATCAGCTGGTCCGATCACATTCGGAAACAGAAAGCAGAGCCATGAACATATGCTGCTCAGCCTTATTACTCCATTATCTGTAGTCCAAAGTCCCTGCCCAGGCAACAGTCCTGTCCACAGTTAAGATAGGTCTTCTTCGGTTTATCAATTTATTCAGGGCCATCCCTTTGAAGCTTTCTGAGATATTAATCCTAATCTAAACAGCCTCTTGTAGGTGTCTTCAGAGACCTGACTCTCAGGTGTCAGATTGGCAATTAATATTAACCATCACAGGCAGCGTCTTCATTTAACCCTAGGAACTCCAGTTCCTCCTCTACCTCCCTGGTGCTGGGATTATGCATATGGTCCATCGCTCTCAATGTATTCTATTCTGGGGATTGAACCCAGAGTCTCCTATGTACTGGGCAAGCACATGAGCAACTGAGCTACTGCCATAGCCCATTTTTATTATTTTCAATAGTTGTATAACATGGCACTATAAGAATTTAATATTATTATTTATCACCGGGTGGAGACAGGCAGACAACAAAATAGTGCATATAAAATCACCCCATCATTGTTTCAAAACTAAGTAAAGGTGGGCATGGCAGTGCATGCTTCATGAGACACTGTCACAAAAACAAACAAAAATTAGAATAAAATAATCAAATTGTGTAGAAAGAATGAATTATTGCACAAATTCTTATTAATAGTGTTGGAGGTGATGGATGCTTTTAGTTTATATCCTCTTCCTTTTCCTTCTTTTGTTTTGATACAGGGGTCTCACTGTGTAGCCCAGACTAGCCTTAAACTCACTAAATATTTCAGCCTGGCCTTGACTTTCAGCAATCCTCCTGCCTCAGCTCCCTGCATGCTATAATTATAGGCATTAGCTGCTATGGCTGATCTACTTTTTCTTGATACATGTGCACTTCAAATTTTTGCTCCAGTGAAAGTATATGAATTGCACAATGTTTTATGGAATAACAATGATTTGCAGACATTAGGAAAGAAGATCCTGTGTTCACAGTCAGCCTGTGGTGCCTGTGACCTAGAACAGACATCGCCTGCCTTGCTCTGCTCTGTTTGGGGCTCCTCCCTCCTTCCCCCTGGCCCTGTTCTGTCTGCTGATCTCCTTGTGAGTCATTCTTTGCTCTATTTCCCACCACACCCAGTCCCCTGGGTGAGTGACTGTTCACTTCCTTGACTTAAAGTTGATGTCTGGTTCTTCATCCACAGTAGATCAAAGTTCAGACAGCAGAGAATTTACTGAGCGTTTCAGTTACCGGGCTACTCTTTTCTGCTATGGAGTTACTGTCTACTCTGGAGATCCATGCAATCCTTGCAACTCCCCCTCCACCTTACAGCCTTACAGCAAATATGCCTTCTGCCCACACCTGAAAAGTCCCTCTCTGTAGGGATTTTTTATGGACTTCCCTAACTTCCATCATAAGAGTAAACATCTTCTAATCTCTTCTTAGCTGAAAGAATGCCCTCCTATGACTCTCTTCCTAAAAGGTCAACCACTGTCCATGTTCCTTCTGCCTCTACCCAATACCACCTCTCTTTGAGACTGTAGAGGTTTAAATTAATCTGTACTGCTAAAGCATTAAAGTACTGGAAATAACCTAACTGTCCAACCAAACGGGATGAGGTGAGAAGCACTACTCCAAGTGTTAAGAACTTAGACTCTGGGGGAGCAGGAGAGCTAGGGCAGTCAGGAAAGTACTTACCTTGCAAACGTGAGGATCTAAGAGTTCAACCCCGAGAACCCATGTTGGAAAAAATGTCTAAGATTTGGGGGTGAATATGATATATATATATATATATATATATATATATAGATAGATAGATAGATAGATAGATAGATATCATATATACTCAATTGAGGAAAATATATTCTTAAAAATTGAGTGTGGTGGTGTGCACCTGCAATGCTAGCACTAGAGAGCAGAGCTAGGTGGATCACTGAGACTCTTGAAAGAGCCAGCCCAACCTCTTTGGTGAGGGGTCTCAGGACAATGAGAAATTCTGTCTCTAAGAAATGGACAGTGCCTCAAAAATGCCAAAAAGAACACTCCAATCCTCCAAACCAAAACAAAATGAAATGTAATACAGAATTAAAAGAACAGAAGAACAGATTTCCATTTGCAGGACAGCACCTACAATATAATTATTTTACTTGTATATTACTTATTTACTGGTATATTACAGGGTCTCACTCTCTAGCCCAGGCTGGTATGAAACTCATAATGTCACCCAGACTGATCTCATTCATGAACATTCCACCTCCCTCTGTTTCCCCAGTGCTAGGATTATAGGTATGTACCAGCACATCCAGCTTTGATCCTAATTTATATATACATACATCATCTACATAGGGAGATTCACAGGAATATTGCTATCAATGGTTTTTACTGGGTGCTAGTTTTAAGAGCTTTCACTTATTGATAGGCAATTTCTCTACTTTTCTAATATTTCAGTGTTAATTATGCATGACTTAAATGTTTTAGAATAAAGAATATAATTTTCTGCTTTCGTCCTATGATTCCATGGCCTCTGGTTTCAGGTCCCCTTTATGTGGGAGGCACATATGGTTCAGACTGCTGTTTATTTGTTTGCCCTGCTTTGGGGGTGAACTATATTTAGAGAGAGGTTGACCATTTTGGTTTTAGTCTTCTTACAAATTTGTCTCCTTCAATATCTATTCTCATGTAAGCTTAAGGAGGCACAGTTAAGCTTGGGCAAGCAAAAGGACACAGGTATTTTATTCTTTTTTTTTTCTTTTTAGGTTTTTAGGTTTTTCGAGACAGGGTTTCTCTCTGTAGCTTTGAACGTTTCTTAGAACTCATTCTGTAGACCAGGCTGGCCTCGAACTCACAGAGATCCTGCCTCTGCCTCCCGAGTGCTGGGATTAAAGGTGTGTGCCACCATCACCCGGCTGGACACAGGTATTTTGCCTCCTGATTCATCAAGTAACAGTTTTGGTCACTTAGATTTACCAGAACCCAAAGTGTTTGAGTTGCTTTAGAACATTTGGTGACACTACATAATTAATGGAAACATTCATGCTGGGGATGTTGCTCTCATGTGCCTAATATGCATGACTTCTTGGGCTCCAACTTCAGCATCTCATAAAACTAGCATGGAAGCTGTGTATAATCCAAGTATTTGTGGAAGCGGGGGCATGTGAAGTTCAATGTCATCCTTAGCTACCCAGTGAGCTCAAAGCCAGTGTAGAATACACGGGACTATACAAAATACATACATACATGTGTGGATGCATATATAGGTGTGTGCATCTGTGTGTGTGTGTGTGTGTGTGTGTGTGTGTGTGTGTGTGTGTGTGTGTATTAGAAACCTACCACAGGATTAAAGTAACATGTTTTTAAAACAATTGTGTCAACAGAGAAGCACCAACAAGTTTGAACAATAACTTTTGATCAATTACCATGAAGAATCAGGTCAGTCCCAGTTGGCTCCTGTTGGGAGATAAAACTTACATCACGCTGCTTATATTCATGTGATGCCACAGCAGTTTGTCAGATTCAGGAACCGCTCCAGGTCACCTGGCTGTCTGCTAGCACAGAATCCAAATATCTGCTGTGGAGACTTTCCAGGGCTGAGCGTTCGGTTGCTATTTGTTTCCTTTTCTATAACGACAATGTTGACACTCCAGCATCGTTCATTGGCTTATATGCAAATAAACCAAATAAGTTCTATTTTTGTCCAGAAAAATAACTATTTTAAGTCTAAAAATGGTCCATGTGTCACTAATAAGAAAGGTCCCGATGATATCCTATAAGAACAGGACCTGAGGAGAATGTACCAGAACCCTTTGCAACCCCATAGCTGCCCATCTAATTCTCCATGGAGAGAACACTATTAAGGATGGAGATTAAGAGCTTACTGATACTGTTGTTGTTTTGAGACAGGGTCTCACATTACCAGGGCTAGCCTTCAACTCACTAAGTAGCTGAAGATGACGTTGAACTTCTGATCCTCCTGCCTCTCTCTCTTTAATGCTAGGACTGCAGGCATGTGCTACAGTGCTGTGGACTTGAACCCAGGGCCTCCTTCATGTTTAGCAAGCACTCTAACAACAGAGTTACTTCCCCAGCCCCTGACTTTTAAATGTACCATAATGTATGTATCACATGTGGGCTGGGAAGATGGTTCAGTTGGTAAGAGTGCTTGCTATGCAAGCATAATATCTGAGCTTAAATCCCCAGCACCAATGTAAAAAGCTGAGCATGGCTGTGTGAGCCTGTAACTCCAGCATCAGCCATAGCCTACGATAATGGTCAGTGAGAGACCCTGCCCCAACAAAATAAGGGGAGAGTGACAGAGTAGAACACCAGACATCCTCTTCTGGCCTCTGTACATGCATAAACATGCCCACATACCACATATACATATGTCATAAACACACATGTACACACACATACACACACACACACAAATAATATGACAACAAAGTTTTTTTTAAATCACAACTAAAAGTCAATATTTTTAAATTTTAAATTTTATTTTAATTTATTGCTTTTGGAGATGGTGTCTCATCTAGCCAAGGAACAGAACTGCTGATCCTCCTGCCTCCATGCACCAAGTGTTGGGATTGCAGGCCTGAACCACAATATTCACTCTGGTTTTGTTTTTAAGACAGGGTCTCTGTAACCCAGGAACTCACTGTGCTTCCAGGCTGGCCTCAAACTCAGTGATCTTCTTGCTTCAGCATCCTGAATGGTGGGATTCCAGGGGTGAGCCATCATGCCTAACTTGAAAGCCACTTTAAAAAAGAGGAATGGTGAGATGGATCAGTAGGTGAAGACCTGGGTTCAACCCATGGAACCTATGTAAAGGTAGAAGGAAGAATGGCATATGACATGGCATGCTCACATATGACATGGCATGCTCACATATGACATGGCATGCTCATGCCTATGAAGGACTAATAACTTTTAACGGAATTTTTTCCCATAAAAAGGGTTTAAAATACCTGTAGAAAGATTAGAAATTCAAAGGCATCCTTGGTTACACAGCAAATTTGAAAAGTTTGAGGCCAGTCTGGGATCCATGAGACCCTGTCTCAAAACAAAACAAAACAAACAGAGATTAAGACCACAGCAGAGCAGGGAATGGATGAGGAAATAGGCTGAATGTTCAGTAAAAATTTCCCACCATCCCTGCATTTTGAGTGCTTCTTTCCTTTTTCTTTTTTCTTTTTTTGTTTTTTGGATTTCAGAGACAGGATTTCTCTGTATAACAGCTCTGGTTGTCCTGGAACTCACTCTGTAGCCCAGGCTGGCCTCACAGAGATCCTCCTGCCTCTGTCTCCAGAATGCTGGGATTAAAGGCATGCCGCCGATGCCATCAGCCAGCAGTGCTTCTTTTCTTTTTGTCTAGTTGTGTGACATTCCACTGGTTTGTGTCAACTTGGACATAGGTTCTGCATTGATGTGCTATTTGTGCACATATTACCATTCACAGATGTGCCCAATTGTCACTGGTCCTTGGATGTTCAACTTCTCAGTCTTACCCAAGATTCACTTGTACCAGAATAACCTGTTTTTTTTTTTTTTTCTTTTTTGGCATGTTTAGTTCTTTGAGATAGTCTCATGTAGCCTGAACTCACCAAGAATGACCTTGAACTTCTGATTCTCCTGCCTCTACCTTCAGAATGCTGGGATTACAGGCATGTACCACCATGCTCAAATCTAAGGAAGAACTAATTTTTGTTGTTTAGTTCTTTCTTTGTTTTGAGACAAGAGCTCACTCTGCAATCCAGGCTGGCCTGGAACTTTCTATGTAGTTGGGCTGGCCCAGAGTTTATTACAGTAAATTTTCCTCTGTCTTCTGACTGCTGGGATTACAGGCATGTACAATCATCCCTGGTACAATTGGAACTTATATTCTTTGGGTGCAAACTATATACTTTCTTTTTTAACTATTGTGTTTGTTATGTATATGTGTATGCATTCAGATGAATCTCACACAGGGGAAGTCAATTCCTTATTTTCATGGCATGCTCCAGGTTAGCTGGCCTACAAGCTTTTCAGTGATTCTCATGTTTGTGCCTTCCATCTCACCTCAGGAATATTGGGATTTCGCGTGCATGTCATTAAATCTGGATTTTTTTTTCATCTGGGCTCCTGGAATTTAACTTGGATTACAAGGCTTGTGCAGCAAGCATTTGTACCAAATGAGCAATCTTGCCAACCCTGTACAATCTCTTTTAAGTTTTTCATAAATTAGAATACAACTTTGTAGTTGTAAGATATTTAACAGAATAGAAATAGACACACAAGAGATTTCATTGGGAGCATTGTTCGTAATTGCCCTAAACTAGAAATAACCCAAATATTGTCAAGAGTTGAAAGTATAAACAAACCTTGGTACCACTATGCAAGGAAACACTACTCAATCATACAAAGAAACAAATGACTAGTGATTAAAAAAAAATATGAATGACTCTCAAAACCATTGTGGAGAGTCTAAGTATGTAGGTCAGATGATAGAGTGATTGCCTAGCATGATGAGGAACTGGGTTTGATCTCAAGTATTTCATAAACCATGGTAGTGGTACATAACTCAGGGCTCCAGGGGTAGAGACAGGATGATCAAAAGTTTAAAGTCATCCTTGGCTGCAAATGGAATTTGAGGCCAGCTTATTCTACGTGAGAGCCCATGACAAAAATCAAAAGCAAAACAATACAGAATAAAAATTGCAGAAGGCAAAACCCCACATATTTCATCTGTATACTCTTCTTTAACAACAACAAAGCTCTGGGTATGGTAGCATTCGCTTGCAAAGCCAGCATTTAGGAGTTAAGAGTGAAAATTAGAGGATAGCTTGAGCTTGATCTCATTTTGAGATGCAGAAAAAGAAAAGAAAAGATAAAGAAAGTTAAAGGAAAAGAAAACAAATCGGTGCTTTCCAGGAACTAGGAGTTAGTTGGTGGGAGCGGGGTGACTTCAAAAGAGGCAAGTATAAGTTTATGGGGTAATATAAATCATCACTATCTTAATTGTAGTGGCACTTCCAGACTGTGCTCGGTTCTCTGAACTCATAGAACTGTAGACATAAAAAGATTATGAATTATACACCATTAAACAGGACATTAACAACCAACATGTTACGATGCTATCTCCACAAAAGGCATTTGTAGTGCGTTGCTCACCACTTCTCAAGTGAAGACTTAATTGTGCTAGAGCAACTCCAGTAGTAAGGACGACTCCAGAAACAAATATACTGGGGAAGGAAGCCGACCGTCCAGTCCTGTGGAGGCCTCTGAGGGTAGCTTCCAATGGCAGGTTCCCTGAGCTCAGGAATAAGGGAACCTCCATCTGGGTTGTAGCTCAGTTGGTGGAGCACTTGCCTAGCAAGCACAAAGCCCACATTCTGTCCCCAGTATCACATAAGCTGGCCTTGCTAACACATACCTGTCATTCCATTACGTGGGAGGTAGAGGCAGGTAGATCAGAAGTTCAACGTCATTGTTGGCCTAGTGAGTTCTAGGCCAGCCTGGATACATGAGGCCAAGTACCAAAAAGAAAAAGAAAAATAAGAAAGACAGAAAAGAAACCAAGAGGAGGACATTTGAATTTTTAAAAAGGAAGCCTTTGCTAGACTCCATGCTCACTTATTCAGCAACCCCACATGCTCTTAAGAGGAAGAAGTAAATGAGAAGAAAATTGTGACAGAGCTAGGAAGAATGTACTGAAATAACTCGTGGAAGTTGAACTGAAGAAAAGCAATGTGAAAAAACCTAGGAGCATGGCTAGAGAAAAACATGAATTTTGTCTCAAGGCCAGCTCTAGAATAAGCTATTCAACAAGTCCTCAAATGGCCAAGGAGGGGCTGTGGGGGTGGGTAACTCAGTGGTACACTGAGGGCTTGTTGTGTGTGAGATCCTGAGTTCCATGTCCAGCGATAGCCCCACACACACACACACACACACACACACACACACACACACACACACAATATCAAGTAGCAGGGAATGTTTTCATAAAATAACTATTTACCCAGCAGGACAATAATGGAAAAAAATACATGGTTAAAAACAAATAGAAAAAAAAAGAGAAATACTAGATTACCATGTTGTTATTGACTTCCTGGAACCAAGCACAAAACCTGAGTGATGGACATTTCCCATTTGCTGACTCGGCCAGACTATTTGGTGTCACATGGATGTAACCAACTTTTTCCATGGATGGGAAGAAAGGAGCAAAGGAGAGCGTGAAGATTTTAGGGAAACTCAGCAAAGAGTGAGTTAAGTCTGGAGGAGCCTAGATCCCTTGAGCGGCATCCAAACTCTCTAAGAAACGATGGAAGATGTCTTACAGAATCAGGATGCCTTTGGGGAGGAGTAAAATGCACTGCACAGAAAAAGACCTGTTTTTAAACAGAAGAAAGAGTAGGAGGGGATAACCCAGACACAATGCAACAATGATATAGAATGAAATTTTTGTGCATGTTGAATGCTGCTCGCACGAAAGATGGCTGCTGTTCATGTCCACCTTGTGGAAAGATGAGCATGGGCATTCCTCTTTCCTTAGAGTGGCGACAGCACTACTACTCTCCTTAAAATTCCTTCTCCTTCTATGGTTGCTTTCCCAACGCTGCTTGGGATTTCTAGAATTCAGGGGCACTCCAGTGGGGAGCAGCTGGCATGCAAGAATTCCCTTTTGAAGGGAGCTGGCAGCTGGGAGAGCAGGAGGGCTGCTCTCTTTATGCCTGGGCTGGGACGGAGCTGTCACTTGGCAAGAGACGAGGCTTCTTCTGATGCCCCTGCCTGCCCTCAGCTCACAGGAGCCACGTACTTCTCACTGCCTGCAGGTGCCATCTCAACTGGGGCCTCAGCACTGAGCAAAGTTTCCTCTTCAAATATTTGCTCTCAGAGACTGACAGTGTCAGCACCGCAATCAGTCCTAGCACCAGGAAAGACCGGTTAAAAAAGATACAGCTTGGCACAAAGTGATCCTAGGCATGTGCGTCTGATGGATATGTTTCTGCTCAGTTCTTCAAGCACAGTGTCCTTCTAACATTCAATAGTGCTGGTTTAGTCACCCATGCATGTGGCCCAGGAAAGGGCTTCTGTTTCTTCAAGCAACTGAAGGCAAGAGAGGTGGCTCTATGGGCAAAGGCTTGCACTGCATGCATGGAGACCTGAAGTCTGAGCCTCAGAACACACACCAAAAGCCAGGCTCAGTACCGCACATCTGTAATCCCAGTGCTTCTACACAGTTATGGAAGCTGGAGACAGGAGAATCTCTGGGAGCTCACAGGCCAGCTAGTCCAGAATACACAGTGACAAACAAGAGACCCTGTCACAAACGAGGAGGAAGGCAAGGACTGACACTTGAGGTTGTCTCCTGACCTCCACGTGAGCACCATGACACATGTACATGCACATGTAAAGCACACACACAATCAATAAATAGGCATTTTTAAAAATGCTAAGAGTGCACAGCTTGGGCTAAGACTGGGGGCTCAGTTAATGTGGTGCTGGCCTACCATTTACAAAGCTGAGTTCTACCCCCAGCACCCCTTAAAACCAGATAATAGTGGCGCACACCAGTAATTCCAGCACATAGACAGTGGTGGCGTGAAGAACAGAAGTTCAAGATCATCCACAGCTCCACAATGAATTCAGGGCTACTTTAGGCTATATGGCACCCTGCTTCAAAACTAAATAAACAAAGGAGAAAAAGAGAAATACTACACAGTGTAATATGGGCTGGGTGCATGTATGCATACACATCTGTGCATCAGAACTCCAGATCCAAAGGGATAGGAGACCCTGTAGCTGTGAACTTTATGATGGTGATGTCATATGATTAGCTGGATAGTCAGTCAGTGAACACTATTGATGGGTAGAGGCAGAGAGGAGGCAGGTGCCACATATTAGACCAAAACAAAGGAATTTTCCATTGCTTTTCTTTGGACTTGTCTGCAGAACAGAGTTTGCCCTTCAACCCCAGTGGATGAATTTGAGACTGTAGGGGTATCAAGGTAAATTAGTCTCTTGGGGCTGCTGTAACAAATAGCCACTGACTAATGATTTCTACACAATGGAACTTTATTCTCCCACAGTTTGGGGAACAAGGATTTTGAGACCAGTATCTCTGGGCCAAAATCACAGTATGGGTTGGGCTGTGTGTCCCCAGGAAGAGAACATCTGTGCCTTCTGTTTTTGCAGATTCTGGTGCCCGCATTCTTTAGCTTGTGGCCTCATCACTCTAATTTCTGCTGCTATCACATTGCCTTCTCTGCTGTGCATCTACTCTATCCCCCTCTTCCTGCTTCTTATAAGGAGCTAGTCGATACATTGCCAGTCCTCCTAGATAACGCAGAAAAATTTGTCTTAAGATCTTTAACTTCAGAGCTGAGACTATAGCTCATTTTGTAAAGTGCTTCCTAGTGCGTGTGAAGCCATGGTGGGATCTCCAGCATGAACTGGCTGTGTTCATACATGCCTCTAATTCCAGCGCTCAGGAAGTGGAGGTAGGAGAATCAGTAGTTTAAGATCAACCTGGGCTATGAAATCCTGTCACAGCGCGCGCGTGCGTGTATGTATGTGTGTGCGTGGGGGGGGTCTTTAATTCCATCACATCTGTAAAGACTGTCTTTTTTTCACATAAAGTAACATTCACAGAGTGATACCTTAGGATATCATGTTTTAATCTATTACACAAGACTAGCCCCTGCCTTGGTCCTGATGGCTATCAACAGAAACAAACACTGACCTCTCTCTGTCAAGAAGACAAATATAGTCCGTTAAAAGCCATGTGTGTGGCTCTGTCTGCTCTCTGATCCTCCTTCTAGTTTCACGGGCTGCTGACTTCCTGCTTGCACAATGACTCTTTGAAGAAGCCCCAGACGGAGCTTCCTGTGAGTGGTAGCTACAATGAACCAAATGAAAAAGACAGGGTTTCTCACTGGGAAAAGATCAACAGTATTGGGGGCCACATCCTCCTTTGTGGTGGGGGCTATACTGTTCATTACAGGATGATAAGCAGCATCCCTAGCTTCCAATCGGTCGAAACTGGTGTAATCCTTACCTCCGCACCCCAGTTGTGGCAACTAAAACTAACTCCAAACATCCCGTAGAGGGCTAATAACTGACTCATGAACCTCACTGCTATACTGAGTGATGAAGGCCCACTGTGCTTCCTAGAGGCTGGGCTGCCTTGTACTCTTCTTCTTAGGGTTTCTCTACCTGTGAAAACACAAAAAGACTCTACTTTGGGGTCTCTATTCCAGACACTTTGCTATCCTCATAGGGATGGTTTCTAAAGGAACTAGCTTAGCAGAGCGGAACGAACTGTCACAGGCTAGGTAGGGCCTTAGCATCCCTCTGCTCCAGGTCTTTTCTTAGTTTTGCTCTTTACAAGTTGGAGTATCTTGAGCAAGTTATATTATCTCTCTGCCTCTTTTTAAAATTATATATGTATGTATATGTATAAATATATATATGGGTTTCATTATGACATTTTCATGCATAATTATTTTGGTCAGACTCATCTCCCCATTACCCTCTTTTGTCCCTTTCCCATTCCAGTTAATTTCCTTTTCTTCCCAGCTACCTGCCCATCTACTTTCAGATCTCTGTTTTCTAACTCAGTGAGTTCTATTTGTTTACAGGAGCATGGATAAGGGTTTACAAAGAGGAGAGTGGGTGGGAGTCTGTTTGCAGTGCCATGTGCACCTTTCCAGTGACGACACCACTAAAGAAAATGTCGTTTCCTCCCATCAACTGCTCTCTCCATATAAGTCCTTAGGGGAGAGTTGGGGCCCCAGGAGCCCTTCTTCCTGCCTCAGCTTCCCATCTGCAAACTGTAAGAATTGAGTCTGGGGTTGTGATGGGAAGAAAGTAGGTGACAAGGGGCAAATCGTATTCACTTAAAACTCCAGTGGGGCTCACCACATGTGTGTGTTCCCTACAAGATTCAGTCATCTTCCTCAAGCTTGGTGGCTCATGCCTGTCTTCTGAGCACTCAGGGGACTGAGACAAGGGGGTAGTCTGGAATCTCAGGCCATCCTGGGCTCCATAGGTAATTCCAAGCTAGCTCAAGCTACAGAATGAAGACTGTGTCTCAAAACCTACAAAGAAGAAAGAAGAGGCAGGGCATTTCTTGCTTTGGTGCTCCGAAAACCGACCTCCAAATCAGACATCGTGGGTAGAATACAGTAAGGTCTGCAGCACTCTGTGTTCTTCAGCATCCTACACTTTCACAGGTCTGCTTCTGGCTAGAATGACATAGGAGGAACTGACTTTGCTTTTATATTCTTTTTTCATGTAAATAGCGTAAAGCCAGAAGCTACAATTGAAGTCTGTTTTTGTTTTCTTAAGTGACCCCAGCTCTCTTCACTTTGCAGCCATACTGTAAGTTTCCTGGCAGCTCCATATGCATAAAGATAAGACTTCCTTTGTAATAAGGAGAGAGAAAAAAAAACATTTACGGAAGTCTTGCTTTTCTAGTGCGTATACCATAAATGTAGTTGAATGAAGCAACGTTATAGCCAAATATAGACAGTACATGCTACAAAATCTCACTCATGATTGGCTCCCACACTGGCCCCAAAAGAAGAACATTGTGGTTTAAATGCAGCCGTCCCAGGAAGTCTTGAAATCAAGCGAAGGGGTTTTCAAATTCATTCTTCATCATTTCAACTGGGCCCCAGCCCAGTGCAATTGGTGGCTGGAGTGGCCTGAGTCTCAAGTCTAGGGATGACATTTTCAACCCTCCTTTGACAGGACATAATTAGAGGAGAAGCCAAACCCCAGTGTTGCTGACATTTAAGCCTCTGGAGCTTTCAATCCCAGCCATAGATTGGATTTCAGTTTCTTTCTTGCGGCACTGCCAATTTGTACTGTTGTAAACTGAGCGGCCAGCAACCCCTGAAAAGCCAGCTGTAGCTGACTGGTTTTCAAAGGCCATTGAAAGCTCAGAGCTTGTAAAAGGCCATGTTCGATGGAGCTTCAGCTGGTCCCTCTAGGAGATGGACTGGGCTGATAAACCGCTTTGCAGCTTCAGTTCCCGTCGCGTGTTCTAAAACATTGGGGTTTGTTTCGGGCCTGGGTAATTGTTTGTTATCGGCCCCACAGCCGTTCTTTTACCCTTGTGATCAGATCATAAGTCCCTTGCACAACCAGCACAGAAGCTCTGTAAGGATGAAGGCTCTTAACCCCGGGGCTGAGTGCATGAGCAAGCCTATGCCTCATTAGCCTGCCATCTGTGAGAGATGTGTGCACCCAAGCCAAGGCGGCACTTCCCTTTCAATCGTTCGCGCTTGCCCTCCCACGGTCTGGCTTCCAAGCTTTGGATAAACAGGAATTGAGCCCCAACTATCCCTGGGGAAGTGGCCGGCTATTATTATTGCCACTGGAAAAACAGACAATGGTCAGAAGCTGCAGAGAACAGAGTCTGGTTGCCTTCACCTTTTAGACCCGATGACCTCCCAGTTTAACTATAGCACACTTTCCTTTGAACAGGAATGAAGTACACACATGCATGTACCTTCTTCTCACGGAAACCTCAAATCTTAAACCTTACTAGGCCACCTTGTCACAGACTGTGACTTCAGTAGATATGTGTGGGTTGCGGGAATATGAAGAAATTTTGGACGACCTGTCTTTTTCTAACTTCCTTTGAATGACTTCTGTACACTAGTGTCACTGTAAAAATCAGTGGCTCGGCCAAAGTGCTCATTTCTTTCCAGAAAGTTCTTTCAAGCCCACGTCTGACAAGTATTCCTCTTAGATCTTCAAATCCTACATATGGAGTTTTTTTGTCATTATTAGTCCTAAATTCCAACGATCCTTTACTAACAAAAATTTAAAAAAAGCCTGATGTGGCCACAAGTTGGTGTAGCAGGTTTTATAGATCAGTCAGACAATCCATTAACCTTGAACATTTTAATTCAAGGATGTAGGCTTGGTTGATATTCATAAATACAGTAAAAAAAAACAAACAAGCAAACAAACCAAAACAGTAACAACAAAACTACAGAGAGAGAAAAGTTCTCTGCCTCTTAAATATTCTCCCAAAGTAATCTAAACACACATCTGACATGCTCCTACAATAAACTTAATTACTAATAGCCATGTTTCAGGAGAATGGGAATATATGAGTAAAATTTCATACAACAAGAAAAAAATAAGATGACCTGGGTTTGTCAAAAAAGAAACATGCATTTAAGAAAACATATAGACAAGGACCCCCAAAATATGTCCCAGCACTTGAGTGGCAGAAGCAGGAAGATCAGAAATTGGAAGTCATCCTCAGCTACATATTAAATTTGAGGCCAGTCTAATGTACATGAGACTCAGCCCCCAAAATGAAAAAAAAAATACATCAGACTAGCATCAGCAATTTCTCAGTAGCTAAGGATAAAGCTTTTTAAAGGTTTAGTGCCCCTCCCCAGTGATTGAGCTTTTCTGTATTGTTCAAATCCCCTATACAGTAAGTGTTTTTATAATGAAAACGTCCTCTTGGGAAAGTAATAGCCCACCCGAGCTTGTTCTTCTTTAATGAATTAATAATATGAGAAGGAAGAAGGGCAACATACTAACAGTCCAGAAGACAAGATGAGGCGGAAATATCAGCCTTGCATTCATTTGAACTTTATTCACTCTTGCTTAAAAAAGAACTTCATGATTACATATTCCATGCACCCTGCTAAAAGCCACGACTTTCACACTCAGACGTAGTGAATAAAAAGCTCACCCAGGCAGACTGCAATGGAGGTGGCCGCTCTTGCATTCTAATTGAGGGACTGTGTGCCTCAACCATTCTCTTGACAGATGGAGAGAATGAAGAAATCACCAGCTGCCAGAGCACAGAGAAGGAAGGGACCAAGCGAGGGCGGCTAGTGTCTGGCTAAGACATCTTTCTGTTTTCTTGAGTAAACATAGGGGGAAGAGAACGCCTCCAGCCATTGCACGCAAGTTAGAGTGCATGCATGCAAACACGACAGAGTTCAAGGGAGGGGCCCTGCAGGCCCAAAGTGAATGCCTATTTTGGGACTTGTGGTTGCGACCACAGAGTTCTACCTTCAGTAAACTGCACATGTTGTGATCAGAACTTTGACACCAATGGCAACTGGGTAACCAGATGCTAACTCTTTTTTTTTTTAAGAGGTGGAGGTGTTTTGAGACAGGGCCTCAAAAGGGTTAGGTAGCTGAGAATGACCTTGAATTCCTGATTCTCCTGCCTCCATCTCCCAAGTGCTGAGATTACAGCCCTGTACCACCACAATCTTTCTCGGGTATTTGTTCTGCATAGATAGTAGATTCAGCAGGAGAGGTTGAAAGTCTTCTGGCCTCATATCCCAACTACCCATAGCAGTCCCATAGTGCTCTTGGTCATCTAAGGTTTCCTGTCTCAGGCAATGCATCCTTGTAAGTCCTTCTGTTGAACTGCATTTAGTCCACAGAGGTGTCTCAGTTTCTCCCCAGGGATTACATGGAGGAGCCAAACCAGACAGATACATAGACTCCTCTCCATTGTCTTCTGTCTGCATCTGCATACTAATGGGGAGATCTAACATATTCATAAATGCCTTAAAATAGGAAGCCTAAATTCTCCTTTTTTTCCTAGTTTGAAAATAGCAGTGACAAATTACATTATATTTTGCAATCTTTATCATGGGCCACATGAAACAGGAAGTTCCCAGAGCTTTCTCACAAGCAACTGAGAAGAAGTACTGGTTTCAGTATAACATTCAGGTAGATCTATATTCAGAAACAACACACAAGTGCAATGGCGTACACAAGACTCTAACATTCATCACATGCAATCCCTTAACATGTGAGCAAAGGCCGTTTGTTATCTCATATTTCTGTTTTCTTACTGTCATGTAAAGGTACCACACAAAGAATGGCAAGCTGGATCCAGTTGACAAAAGGCCTGGTATAAGCCTTTTCTCAACTGCTTTTAAAGATGGGGCACTTTCACTTGAACAGGCACCCCTGTGGCTCCACTTAGGGAAGGGAAGAACGTTTTACATTCTCATAGCTGGGCGCAATCTCTTTTGGGAAATGAAGGTAAAGGGGAGCCCTTTTAACTGTCTTCTGTTATTAATCTGCTCTTGGTTCCTTCCAATCAATGTTATTTATCACTGCCGAACAAGCATTAACGGAGAGTCTGAAAGGGCTCTAACGTCACTTCTAAGATGCTCAGAGTCGACAAACCAAGCTTTCAGATCCTAGTGGTTTTGAGTGAAGCATTTCCCTCCAAGGCACATGGTGCTCATACTTTAAGATGGATGCTTATGAGCTTTGCAAGCAGGTAACATTTCCATTGTGTACTAAAAAGCAAGCAAACAAGAAACTTCCTGTACCATTAATGTGGACTGCAACCACGCTGTCAGAATTCAAGATGGTACATCTTGTGCAAGAGGAGGGGCAGCTTGTGTACAGGTTTTTATATTATCCCAGAGAATGTTTTTATTATCTTTTCAAAACTTCGAAGTGTAGGCAAAGGAAACAGATCTAGCCCACAAGATCTTAAATGGAGGAGGACTTCTCTTATTCTCCTTCCATTTTCCAGTTTCTCATTTTCAAAGACACACAGTTTAACAACTAACCTTAGAGACACTTAGAAATATTGCCCGGCTAAAAAATTATTTTTGTGGGCATAGTAACATATACCCCTAATCCCAACACTCAGGAGACAGAGGCAGGTGAATCTCTGAGTTCGAGGTCAGCCTGATCTACAGAGTAAGTTCCAGGACAGCCAGAGAAATACAGTGAGACCTTGTCTCAAGAAATCATGTATGCATCTAATACTTGATTGACAATCTATAGCCACTGTGGTAGCCTGCTCTTAAAAAACCATGTCTGTTATCATATTAACTTTCTTATTCCTCTATTATAAAAATGAAAATAAGTCAACAAACTGTGAGCCAGTTTCTTTTTCAGTTCTAGGTCATCAAACCCAGGACCCTGTGTATGCTAGGTAAGTGCTCTACCAGTGAGCTACACCTCCAACCCCTTACATCGACAAATGCATAAATAGATAAAATGGGTTTGAGATTCAATGCCATTTGCTCTTATGTCCCATTGAAATTCAAGTCCACCAAAGAGAGAAAAAAAAAAAAAGGCAAGAGAGTCTCAGGTAAAGTGCAAACAGCAAAATCATAGCCCAACTAATTGCATGCAGCTACAAAGAATAACCTACATAGCCAAATGCTCTAGGTAGGCGGTGTGGACAGGGAAAGAAAATTGGTAGAGAAACAAGCAGAACTCAGCTTCCTCGGGTTCCTTCCGGGCTTAACATGGGTGCGTCCTTTCCTGCAAGGCACCTGCATGCTCTGTGGTGTGACTTCCGGCCAGAGACTTCCTGTAAAAGGAAAAAAGAAAAAGAAAACTAAGTAGTATTGCTGTTTGCCTTCTGGTTTTGTGCTCTTGCCTAGTGTTTTCTCTTGTTTTCAGCTTTTAAGAGCGTCCCAGGCAGTGGTACTTGTTATTCCTTGCTTCCTGGAAATCTCTTTACATACAGAATGGCTTGGAAAATTTGAAATTAGCTAACATTTAGACTGATGTTAAGATAGAAGTTAGTTCTGTCTAGTGGGAGGGAAGAGTCGGCAGGGTCAAACAACACCCAGACTCAGTGATATGAATACCTGAGTCCCCTCATCACAGAATCATAAATAGATTTGGACACTGGGGAATCATCAATTCTCTGATATAGACATCCTGATTTCAGTTGTTCTGCCAAAGGAAAAAAGGCCTTCATTATCTGCAGTGCTACGGTAGCAGCATATTACTGGTAAATATTTTTTCTTCCATTGGATTAAAGGGCCAACCTAGGGTTTCATGAGCTGTCACTTTATTTCTAAGTTGGGAGAGCTTACTAGAGATATTTGGTGGCTTAGTGAAAATTTCGACACCAGCTTGTGCTTAACTATTTTAGTACTATTGTTTCTTTCCTTAAAAGTGACCGTGGAGGTCATAACCTAGCACCTTTGTTTTGCAGATAAGGAAACCGAAGTCCAATGTTATGGCGATAAGTGCTGACACTAGTTGTCAAGTCTGCTTTTCCCCAGTTATCCTGCCAATGTTCTTTGTGCAAACCACACAAGCGGTGGGCAGGACTTTCTGTATTTACATTCTCAAAGGACCGTGGGCTTCATATTTTAATAACCTTTAGTTTCCTACTAGGAAAAACCCCAAGCTCGATTTCCTCTTCTGGACAGCAAATCAAAAGAGCCACTGCTGAGGAGTACTGAAGCATTGGTAGCTGGACTTGGAATATTTTCTTATCATTTATTGCATGGTTTTAGCATGCAATTTGTTCTTTATTCTCAAACTGTAGAACAGCAAACAAGTGTTTTATTCATGATACAACAACAAAAACACCTTTTCATATTTCTTCCTCACTTGTAATTTTCGTAAGTTTAGCCAATTGATATTAAAGCTGCTCTCAATTTTTTTTCATTCCTACAGTTTTGGTAATTTCACTGGGCATATAATAATCTCTAGAATGTCAGAAATTACAGTGAAACATGTTTAAGGAGATTGTTCAAAAAGTCTGTTTACTTGAACAGATCCTGCTTACATTTATTTGATGGTTTCTACGTGGTGGAACAGAGGAAGGAGGGAGTAGTACTAATGGGATCCTTTGGCTATTGTTTTATCAGACTATTGTTCTGGCGATGTTTCAAATGGCTTTATGTTTAGGACTGGGGGTAGGATAGGATTTCTTCATCTGGACTCTAGTAACATGTGGAGTCTGGTAAGTCTGTATTGGAGGGGCTAGGATGGACAGGATCGCTCCTCCTTCCCACCTCCCTGCCCACCAGTGACAGGGTACAATGACTCCAGACAGGGGCAAATGTTTCCTCTGCCATTTTGCTCTCCTCTACCTTGAGTAGAGAGTCTCTGCACTGTATGGGGTAGGGTGCTCTCTCTCCTAGAGAGCACTCAGGCTACATTGTAGAAACTCTCTAGGGAACACCACAGACTGTACCAGCTCTCCTGGCCAACATTCAAAAAAGCTTATGCTAATCTCGGAGGAGTAGTCTATGGACTTGCTTCTAAGTAAATGAAGGAATTTTCTTTTTCACTACCCAACAAAAGTTTGCCATTTGTTACAAAATGCAATGCAGGGATGCGTGAGAGTTTTTATTTCCAAAATCTTTTCTGGTTCTAAACAGGCCAACTCTGCCCTTGGAACACAATAGCTTCCCTTGTGGGTACTAACAGAGTCCTCTGACTATGAACCTCAGCGCTATACTGAGAATGACCTTGAACTATGGACTGAGCCTATTTTGCACTGTCAGAAATCAGAGCAGTCAGTCTCTTTGTCTCTGTCTCTCTGTCACACAGACACACAGAGACACACACACACAGACACACGCACACACACACCCCATCTCTCCCTTGCTTCCTGAGCTTTGCTTTCCCCAGGTCGAATCCATGTAAATGGTGGATGTCAGGATAATGGAATAGAGAGTCCCAATGCATTTTCTTAAGCAAAGAATGGTAACTAAGGGACATAGCAATCCTTTGAATTCCTTGTTCAAAGCTGAAACTAGATGCTCAAGAACTCCCCTAGCAAACTTCTGCTGTCGGTTTCATTGCTGTTTGCTTGTGTGGTACTCCATATTGAACCTGAGGCTTCACACATGCTAGATAAATGCTCTATCACTGAGATACAGCCCCAGCCCTTTCTAAATTATCATCACCACCACCACCACTATTATCATCATCGGGGGTCTTTTGAGACAGAGTCTCACTATGTAGCCCTGGTTGGCCATAATACAGCCTTGAACTTGGGAACAATCCTCTTTTTTTTCTATCTTCCAAGTGCTAGGACTACAGATGTGTAATGCCTGTATTATTCTGAGACAGATCTCACTGTTGCCCAG